CCGGGGGGGCGGCGGAGGACGCGGAGCTGGAGGCGGCCCTGCTGCTGCAGCGGCCGGAGCGGGCGCGGCTGAGCGAGAACACGCGGCTGGCCACCCGCTACGCCGTGCGCATCTTCCGCGAGTACCTGAGCGAGAAGGCGCAGAGCCCCGACTTCGAGACGATGGACAAGGGGGCGCTCTGCCGGGTCCTGCGCTCCTTCTACGCCGAGGCGCGCTCCAAGAGCGGGCAGCTCTACTCCAAGTCCTCCCTCATCAGCATCCGCAGCTCCCTCAACCGCTACCTCAACGAGCCGCCCTACTGCCGCACCCTCGACCTCACCAAGGACCCCGAGCTCCGCGCCGCCAACCTCACCCTGGCCGCTGTCATCCGCAAGCTGGAGGAGCAGGGCGCCGGGCCGGTGGTGCAGAAGCAGGCCATCACCCGCGCCGACCTCCGCAAGCTCTACACGTGCAGTGTCTTCAGCACCCAGAGCCCCTTCGGGCTCCTCAACAAGGTCTGGTTCGAGACCTGCATGTACTTCTGCACCCGGGGCCGGGAGAACCAGCGGGARCTGGAGGAGGACTCGTTTGGGCTGGCCGTGGACGAGGACGGACGCAAGTTCGTCTACTTCAAGGCGCTGGGGCCCTACCACAAGTCGCGCTCRTCCTCCTGGAGCAAGAAGCGGGCGGAGAGCAGCGACGAGGAGAACCTGCCCCGCATGTACGAGACTGGCACAGAGTTCTGCCCCTAYGCCAGCTTCGTCAAGTACCTGTCCAAGCGCAACCCCCTCTGCAAGGCCTTCTTCCAGCGCCCGCGGGACCACTGCAGTGAGGGCGACATCACCTGGTACGAGAACAAGGCCATCGGGAAGAACCTCCTGGGTACCCGCATGCAGATGCTGTCCAAGGCGGCCAAGCTCTCCAAGACCTACACCAACCACTGCATTGGTGCCGTCTCCATTGCCACCCTCAACAGTATCGCTGGCATTGGCACCAAGCTGGGAGGACTGCAGCCACCCCACCACCACCACCCCCCTCCCCACCACCACCACCTCCTCCACCACCCCGCTGGCGGGGGCTGCTACACCCCTGCCGCCCTCAATGGTGGGCCTCGGCCRCGGCCGCCCGCTGCCAACCCCTACGTTCTGCCCAAAGACGGTGACGCTGCGCCAGTGAAGGCAGAAGCGGCSGCGGTGGCCCCGGCCAAGCGGGCGCTCTACGAGGCAGTGTTCCCGGCAGGGGCTGCGGCCGGCGGCGACGCATGTGGGCCCTCTGCCTCCCCCAAAAGACTCTGCCGCCGCCCCGCTGAGCCCCTGGATGCCGCTGCGCCCGCCGTGGTGGTGGTCTCAGTGAAACATGACCCCTTGCCTCACCTCCTCCCCGAAGCAAACGGGCACAGAAGCACCACCTCACCCACAGTAGTTTCACCTGCTATTGTTTCCCCCACACAGGTAATCGGAAAAAGGAAAAAAAAAAAAAACCAAAAGTGGCAACCCCTCACCCTCCCCAACATAGTCTGCACTGCCCCCCTCCTTTCTTCCCCAAGGCTGGGCACTGAGGCACACTGCCAGCTTTGGGGTGGCTCTTGGGGCCACACTCACTCTTCAGGCACCCACAGAGCCCGAATGCGAGTTATCCAACTTGTTTGCCCCCCCAAACTCCTCACGCCCCACCGCTGGTCTAGTGGCCACTACTGTGTGTCGGGGTGTCAAACTTAAGTGGTGCCTGGGTGCTGCCACGCTCCCCCTCAAYGGCATCACCGACAGCTCAGCCCTATGGGCTCCCCCTTTTCCTCCTTTCGATTTCTTTCCCCCCTCTTTTATTTTTCTTTTTGCGGGAGATGTGACTTATGAAAGTCGGACCAGAAGAGTAGATAGGGGCATCAGGTATCATTAGTGTGTGTGGTRTTCTTGATGTGCTAATGAACTATTTGAATAACCTCACATGCAGGAAACAGCTGGGAGAATACTCAATTACACACTAGTAATGAGGGTGTAATTTTAAACTTCAGAAGTTAACAAGAGGGTTAATATGGCAATTGCATTCATCTTGTATTTGTTTATTTAAAATAGCTCTGTTTCCTGGCAGTGATCCTTTTTTTTTTTTTTTTTAAGGCAAATTGGCTTGAGTCGCGTTAGTTACCATAGTGGCGAAATATACAGTAAGAGCACAACTAGACGGGTTTAGGTGCAGCTTCGCTGTGGAATGAGTCCAAATTCATTCGATGCGTTTCGTTGAGGTAAAACGGTGGTGTCAAAAAAACGCTGTTGAGCTGTGCCTTGATGCGTGCCTTGCGGAGCCCCCTCTGCTGTGTGCCAGCACGTGCTGGTGCCTGCTCCCCATCTCCTCCAAAAGTACTTTCCTCTCGGCTGTTTGAGCGCTGGAGCTAAATTACTTCAATTAAAGACTCGCTGCACCTCTGCAATTGGCTTGAAGTTTGGAAGTCGTTCTGACTGAATCTGTAAAGCATACGCAGTTACGTTGTGCCCCATAAAATACCCGTGTTTCAGGCAACAACTTTACTGCTGGCTGCCCCGCGTGATTACAAAACCCCTCTGACATTCCTGTGTCAAGTAATAACAGGGATCGCAGCCGTCAGCCAGAGAGCACGGCGCTGGGCAAGCACAGGTATATGACATGCCTGAGCTGTTTCCCGAGTGGAAATACCAGTTCTGGACAGACTGACCCTTTCAAAGAGTTTGCCAGCTAATCAACCAGCCTGAAGGCTAATTGGGGTGGGGAGGGGGAGGGCAGGGCTTCCAGTGAATGCCTGCATAAGCGCCTGTGTTCTTTAAGATACCTGTGACCTCTCCTTTCTTTCAGCGAGGCTTTTTTTGGACCACTTCAGTGCAGTACTGTAGCTTGATCTCCTGCTGTGTGTATCTGGTGTCTCTGAATGGCTTAGAGGCTTGATTATGTGCAGATAATGTTTTTGTTCTAGCTCATTATTTCAGGTAAAAGCTAATGCTCTTCGCTGTRTTTAACCCTAGATTCCTCTTTCCCTTGCTTTTAATGCCCGTAAAAATAATTTTGAAACTTCAGACATAGTTTAGCTTCTTAGGAGGAGAATTGTGTGTGCATCTGGGAAGGGGAAGAGGGAACTGGGCAGAGCAGTCAGTGGTCACAGAGTGTGTCTTTAACCTGTTAAATGAGGTGTCTTGGTACTTTCAGTTGTCAGGCTAGAGAACTCGATCTCTGCCCTGGCCCACAAATCTCTTCACACTTGCAGAAAGCTTAGGCGAGGAGAAATCCAGCTGCTGTACTGTTTGTTGCAAAGCTGTGCTTCCTACGAGAAGCGTTCGGAGCTGTAATTCTCATTAACAGCAGGCTGTGGGGGGAAAGGGAGAAATAGCTAAAATAGAGTACACAGGCATCTGCTGTTTTCCTGAGTGTATCAAGAAGGAAAATGAGCAATCAGCAAGGGTACTAGAACTAGACAGTGTGGGTTTTTTTCAGTAATTATATGGAAATGTTCCCCTCCATTCACAATTTCATGAGTTTCACAAGGTGTCCAGTCGCTTTTGTCGCAGAATCTTGCTTTTGCTGTAAACCTCATTAATTTAAATCTTTAAGAGAAATAAAAGTGTCTCTCTCTTTTTTTTTTTTCTTTTTCATTATCAATTTTTCTTGTGTCAGTTTTAACTTACACACTTCTGGGATGTGACAAAATGAAAAAATACTGACTGTGGAATGGATTTCCTTGGGAGAATGTTAATGCTAAACTTTTTCTCTCTAGCTACCTTTTATGATACTTACACTAATCGAGGTCCAGGGCATTTCCTGGGGAAATTAATGACTGGCTGGGGTTAATGGCCCAAGGCATTGCCTCAAGCCATTGACTCTCCCAGCCGGTCATTAATCCCCAGGAAATGCCCTGGCCCTCAATCGTTATTGCTTAATTATAAACAAAGAGTTTCTAGGCCTTTTTACTGAATATATCTCATCAAGTACCAGGACACTGAGTTCCACTGTTGACAAATATTACTGATTCCTTGAAAACATGGAGGTCATAAGTCTGTGGTTTATTTGTTGTTGTAATTAGTCTTCCAGGGGACAGATTCTGCTGAACTCGTGGATTTGTGCAATAGTCTGGTGAAAAAGTGGTGGCATAATGTGTGGGTTTCTTAACATCTTTATACTTGTGTGCCTTTTTGTTTTTTAAATAGCATTAAGCAAAGTATGGAGAAGATTAAATKAAATCACTAAGTGGGGTGTCTTCAATTTGCACTGACTATCTGAGCAAGAATGTTAATTTTCTGCTTTCATATTGTAGTTCCTATTTTTTGTTTTAGCTCCAAATAGTCTTTTCAGCACTTGGTTTGTAGGAGCTTCTTCCATAGCTCAAGAAAGGTGCATTAAATGTTCATCTTGATCCAACTATTGCTTTAGGTTTTAGCCTCAAGAGCAGCATTTATAGTGTATTTTAAGCATACAGCAGTGCCATCGTGGCACAGCTTTCTTTTCAGTCCTTATTTGCTCTGAAGTGTAGCAATTTTCCTGCCACTGACAGCAGTGCTACAGTTCAAGTTGATGACAGAGAGATGTAATTTGGCTGTTGTTCATCTCCCATGTTGCTGAAAGATGAACAATAGCTAAAGCTTAAACTTTTGATGCTACAATGTGGTGGTAGCTTTTGGGTTTTACAGATCTGGTACATGCTGAACTTACTACAGTAGWAATACTCAAAAATAGGTGTAGAAAAATAGATCGGCCTCTGCCATGGGGGAGGAGAGTTGCCTGTCACTTGCAARTGCTTTGGTTACTTTTGTTCTCTAACTTGTTTGGGTTTCTTAGGGCTGTTTGTGAAGAATTTATCAGCTATTAAGATATCTACCAAAAGCTTGGTTGTTAAAACCTGAGCCGTGTGCATTTGTCTTAGCTGTTTGGAATCCTTCAATGCTTATTTATTTTTTTTTCTTCTGCTTTAAATTCAGAGTTGTCCTTTTTGCTTTCTTTTGATCTGGCACATGTCTTTTCATTGCCTTACATTCTCTTTGAAGGGCTTACTTTGACCTGAACCAGAAATCTAGTTCTGACTGCAAGTTTTGCAAAAGAAGGCAGAACAGTAGCACATGAGGAATATGAGTGGGCAGTAGACACCACCGGGGGCAAATCAAAAGTAGCTAGTAAGTCTAGCTCTTTTTAGTCCTGGGTTTTGGAAGAGGTGGATAAGAATCTTTCTGCTTGATGTTTGATCTGGGAGCATCCTGCACTTCGTTAAACGGCCACAAAAAAAACCTGACGTTTTGTACAAGTGTCTGTAGTACTCTGACCAGAGTCGTTGCAAGGTGCTTTCAGAGTGTGCAGAGCAGAGCTCATCAGGCAGCTGCAGGGAAGGATGCTTAGGATTGTGGTGTAAGGGTGCTAGGCTTCATTTCTGCCAGGGTACTAGATGGAGCAATATCCCTGTCCTAAGGGCTTGAAGTACAGGAGCTGTTGAGACTGATGACTGCTAAATACCCTGTTAGTTCTTGGGATGGTACTGCTGTTGATCAGGTTTCAGAGGTTAGTGCTGACTGCCCTATTGCATAGTTGGTGCCCTTTTTTTTTGATTACTGGATTATCCCAGGTTRCAGGGAAATCCAGGATTTGCTATGTGTCTTTTTTAAGGGAAGCATTAAGGTTAAAATCTTAGAAGGTAAGGATTAAAGAAACTTTAACCTGCAGTTTAAGAAACTTTACCTRCCTTAGAGGCTACTGACTGTTATTTTGTTACTTATGGGGTTTTTAATAAGGAAGATTTTTMATCTTCTACTCAGTTACAGATGTGGAAAGTAGAACTGTCAAAGGGACTTTTATACCTGATAGTTATCAAAATTGTTCTGAAATCCTTGGGGAGTGGAGGGATAAAGTAGTTATGGTGTCAGGTATGGTCCCCAAAGCTTTTTTGTCAATCTGCATGGTGAAACACATGCATCCTGGCTGTTGGGTTGAAGTCAGTGTTGTTTGTAACTGGGTGCTTCTAAAGACTGTTGAAGAGAGAAAGGGTTTTTCTTTTTAAGAAAGTAGGATATCCYAGGCTATATTCCTTACAATGAATGTGAGACTTGGTAGGCATGTGAGTGTTTCCCAAGATGCGTACAGGACAAGCAGGATAGAGATTAGCCTTAGTGATCTCATAGACAGCTTTGGGGGCAGTATATGCACTAAAAGGAACGAAGGGAATTATTTTTTCTTTTCTAGACTGAGGTTGCTCCATTTTAAATTCGCTGTTAGGGAGGAAGTTGATTTAAGRTGACTTGGGAGAGTATTTTAGAGAAGGTCCAAGGATGGTGCTTTGATACACGCATTTAGAACGGTGGCTATGGAGCTAAAGGTCCAATATTGTCTTTGTAAGTCCTTTTGGTTATATTGGCATGGTATGTTGGAGGTATTAAATTTTGTAACTATTTCTTTCGCTGGTGATTTCTGCTGTCACTTAAATTTTCAAAATATKTTTCCTTTTTAGAAA